TAATTAACCAAATCATTATTGCTTAAATACAAAATTGTTAAAATATTTATAAATAATTTTGTTTGTAGAAATATGAATTTACTACATATACATGACACGATATTTTAAATTTTAATATAAATCACTTGTACACCTACTTGCTTTTTGTGGGTCTTCTATAGGTTTTCCATTTAAATCCAAACGTCGTTTAAAAATATTATGTTCTATTTGTAGATGTTGTTCACCTGTTGTGTCCATGGCATCAATTGATAAAACTAAAACAAATATGTAGGTTTATTAGTATCAATTTTAGATGTAAAAAGTTGTAATACATATAGTCGATTATAAAAAGATTTAGAAACTAATACAATATTAATTTCTAATCTCTATATTTCCAATAAACGTACAAGAGCAATAAAATATGTTACATTACCCTATGAAGATAGCAGTATAAAAACACTTTTGAGTTATTATTTATTGTTGTTTGAATTTTAAACATAATACCGAAAAAGGATGAATTTAAAAGCCATTAAAAGTTTCAGAAACTTTACTAATTATACGTATAACATTATAATAATGATTTTTTAAGAAAAGTTTAATACTTAATTGCATATTTCATATACTTGATAATATGGTATAAATGTTCTCTCAGAATGAAAATAAGTTTTTTTGAATAATATAATAATAATAATGATGTAATTGATATATTTTAATAGAAGTAGAAATTTATAAACTACTAAGCCTTGTGTTTAGGACTCTTATTCTAGTAAAAATTTTTCAAAATTCTTCTATAGGAATTTTTTGAAAAATTTTTTTTTTAATTTTTTAATATTTATTTTTATCAAGAACACCGGCAAAACATAACATATATCACTAAACCATAATTGATTTGTTCCTATATTTCATTATTGGTTGTAAATGCTTCGAAGTAAACTTTTCTTTGCTTTCCACTACGCTCTCATCCTCTCATTACCGTTAATATTAAATTCGCTTCTATTCACGGAAATAACATTACCTATTAAGGGTAATGTTAACTCATAAAGAGTTTTCCTTAAGAATATTTCTTTATTCTATTTTTTAAATTGATATATAGCTTTTTCTTAATGATTTATTCATTGCAACTCTCCAGTATGAGTAGTTTTTGGTCATTTAATAGATTTACTAAAATGTCATGTTTTTTTTTTGTATCTTCGTAGCTACCTTAGGACAATAATATTGAAATGTTTTAGTTTCTCTCACAACAGAGCATTTATCATGATTACTTAAAATTTTTTGACAGCTATTTGGACATTTGATTTAAATTAATCTTTGTTTCTATAATGTTTTATAATATCTCCAATAATAAATTTTAATTATCTTTAAAATATCTATTATATCATAGATTGATTTTTTCTTTCCATGATTTATTATTAATTGTTGTATTTTAAAACTTTTATACCAGCTTTTGCAAATCATTCTGAATTACTTGGAAGCAAAATGAATAGATATTTGAAATCTGTTATCATTGTTTACGAACACTATCAGTATTTAATGGAGAATTAAACAAGGAAAATTCCTAAATGTATATCTTGCATCTGAAACATTTTGTGATATTAAAATTTGTTTTTTTTTTTCAATTTTTCTTTTAATATTTACCAGTGTTTCCTAAACTTTTAGTTAATCTATGCTAATGTAAATTAATAAATAAATTAAACAAATGTGGAGTGCTTGAGTTTACAACTTGGTATAGTATTAGAGTTTACGTTACAACTTGGTATAATATTTAAAATCATAAGAAGCTTATAATAATTTTTATAATTTTTTATAGAGCACATTGGCTTTTTGCAGAATATAGTTTGAGAAACACTGATTTAAACAATAATAGACAATCTAAAAGTTTTTTTCTACTGTTATCTTTATAGCATAATATAGTATAATATAATATTTTTATTGCTCATTATATATTTATTAAAAATATAGAACTTAGAAATTAACCCTTTCGATACAGCTTTGTTGTTTGCGAGTATGCTTCTACTATATAGATACTTACATTGAGAATGAGGTTTTATTATATGGGTAAGTTATAAAGTAAATATACATTTTATTGCGAAGTAGATTAAGGATGAGAGATTAGAATGAAATGCGTTTAAAAATTAAAAAATTTTTTAAATTGTAAATTGATGTAAAATATCAATAGGTGACTATAGTAATTGATAGTATCCGCGAGTGTTATGACATTGAATAACTATAATTACCATTATTACACAGCAAGCATCAGATATTGGGTGATTATAATTACTGATAGTACACTATAAACGCTATGATATTAGGTAACTATAGTCACCTCTAGTACGCTGCAAACATCAGTTGTTAGGTAACTGTAATCACTATTAGTATATAGCAACCATCAAACGATGGGTAACTATAGTCATTTTTGGTATCGAAAGGGTAAAAGCTATGTTAATATTAATCTTTTTGTTATTGATTATAAATAAAATATCTATTATAATATACTTACGATCGCATGATATTGCAGGAATTATTATATCCAAATTAATTCTTAATTTTGACCCCCTTGATGTATCAACGAATAATTCTTCACTTAGAGTAGGTGTAAGATAATAATTAACTTCAGATAAAAACAATATACCCATGATGATAGTACTAATGATAGTTACTGCAAAAATGCAAATCTTATTTAATCTTTAATTTCACTTGAATAATTATTTCATTATTTAAAACAAATTCTACATATATATTATTCTAATAATGGCAATTATTTCTATATTTACTAATAATCAAATGTAAACAATGAACACTAATATTCAACACTCACAGTATCTTTTGTCTTTTGATTATTAAACAATGTGAGGTATAACAGGTAAATAACAATTATTATATATTACAGAATATAAGAGAAATTTAAATTGAATAAAGAATATTATTCATTGAAAATAAGAACACCAAATTGTGAGGTTAATTAAATATTCAATAGTTTTCTGGTTAATAAAAATAAAATAAAAGCAATCTATTAAAAACTCAGATAAACAAAAGTCATAATGAAATAATAAAGCACGAAGATATACTAAAACTTAAATAAATATGATAAACTTCATTTTCTAACCTATAATACAAAACATATATTACCGATAGCACCGCTAAATGTTCGAATTAAAATATCAGCCTCTTCACGCACTTTTGGGTGCACATCTAATTGTCGTAAAATCTGCATCCTCGAAAAAATTTAATTTCAAGGATATTAGAAATAATACGTGCCACCTTGCACCGGTTATATTGTCGGCGTGTTAATATAAATGACGTATAACAAGACTATTCAAATACGTTTAGTTAAAATAAGCGCCATCTTGCGTTATTTTAAATTGAGATAGCGGTAAACGAAATTGAACGAAATCACAAAATATTTTAATAACTCTTAAACAATTATTCAATTAAATGCATCAATTAAAATAACAACATTTTGTTTGTATATAATTAAATAATATATTTTTACTTGGAATTAATTTACTTCAAATAATTTAAAAGTTTTTGTATATGCAGATTCAATAATACGAATAAAAATATAAATAATTTTAATATTTTAATTGCTTATTTTAGGTAAAAATCTCAGATCTTTGGTAACATTGGTGTTATATTGAAAATAAGTAAAATATAATTTATCTTAACATAAATATACTAATGTCCGTTTTGATATCTTTAGTAATAATGGCGCTGGATATCTTTAGTAAAAAATGCTTTAGTAAACATGGCGGAACGACTTGCGTGATGGCTTGACGTTTAT